TCTATCTATCTATCTATCTATCTATCTATCTATCTATCTATCTATCTATCTATCTATCTATCTATCTATCTATGCTGAAGGCATCTGTCGGAGTTGCAGTGTTCTGCATCTCTTATTGGAGGTTCAGTAAAATGACACATTGATATCAAAGTATGGTGATGTCACATCCAGTGCACATGAGCAGATGTAAATGGACTAGATATTATTAAAAGTTTCTACCTAAACGCACAGATGAAACTGTCAGTAATCTGATCGTTCAAACTTTAAAAGTGTAGTTTGTCCTGTGTGTTATTTGTGTTCATTTCACATGTTGTATAATTTGTATCGGTTTCTCTCTTTTCAGTTCTTGTATTTCTCTTCTACTTTCCCCTTTTCTTCTTTACTACAGTGTAAAAAAACACTGATGATGCAGAAATTAAGAAACTAGCATTCAGTTTTGTTTTCTACTGAAGTGGCTTAAAAAAATAAAAGTGTAGTTTGTCTTTTAGAGAAGTCCCCCATCTAAAGTAGAGTTTTCTTACAAAGTATGAAGCTTGAGAAGTGTTTGGCAGCATTCAGAGACTAAATGTTCTGTATTCCTGCAGGTATAAGCCTGTGAGAGAAGACGAGGATGGTAGCAAAGACTCTGTGGGCGGGAAGCGAGGCAGAGCCCAGACTGCTCCCACCAAAACCTCCCCACGCAACGCCAAGAAGCAAGACGAGCTGTGGCACGGTGAGAACCTGAATGTTCTCCTCAGTTTGACATGATCCAAAAGGACTAACTCTGAAACACAGTGAGATGCAAATTTAATCAAACTGTGCGACATTCATCGTTCTGCTTGTTTAGATGGTGTTTGCCCCAGCGTCCTCAATCCCTTGGATGCATACCTCACTTCAGAGCCACCAGAGACCATAACGTTTGATGACCCTTCTTTAGAGGTCACCTTGCTGCTGAGGGTTCTTCAGTCTATCAGTAGATACTGGTTCTACTTGTATGATGTAAGTCATCAGGATGTTGTCCTGATTTTAGCAGATCTCATTAAGAAACTTCGGTGTGAATACAACACCTAACAGCAAGCTAGTTTTTAACTTGATTGCTTTTAATTCAAAAGATCAGAGGATTAATCTGCACATCCACTCCAAAGCCAGTACCAATGCTGTGCTCAAACAAAACAAATGCAGGAAAAATGACCCAATTTCAACTACTTCATTATAAAACCCTAGAAGAAATTATAAGTCAATTAAGCTCCAGTTCCTGCTGTCTGGATGTCCTACCCACACATTTCTTTAAGAAAGTCCTGCCTGTTGTTGCTAATGATCTGATCCAAATAGTGAACTCATCGCTGTCTTCAGGTGTTTTCCCCCAGGCTTTGAAAACAGCAGTTATCAAACGTTAAAAAAGAATAATCTAGACAAATCACTACTGCAGAATTACAGGCCGATCTCCAACCTCCCATTCATCAGCAAAGTTATTGAAAAAGCAGTTTTTAAACACTTAAATAACTTCCTAACAACAATGAATCGCTTTGAGTCATTCCAGTCTGGTTTTCGTGCTCACCACAGCACGGAGACGGCCCTTGTAAAAGTGTTCAATGACATCCATATAAATACAGACAGTGGGAGAACCACAGTGCTGGTTCTGTTGGACCTCAGTGCAGCTTTTGACACTGTTGACCACGACATCTTACTGAATCGACTGGAGTGTTGGGTCGGACTCTCCGGTCCAGTGCCCCACTGGTTTGATTCTTACATAAAAAACAGGGATTTCTTTGTTTCAATCAGAAACTTCTCATCAGAGAGGTCAAAGGTCGCATGTGGGGTACCCCAAGGCTCAATCCTAGGACCCCTTCTTTTCAATATTTATATGCTCCCGCTGGCTCAGGTTATAGCAGGAAATAGGATTAGCTACCATAACTATGCRGATGATACACAGCTCTACATCACGATGTCACCAGGTGACTCYGAACCAATCCATTCACYGAATAGGTGCTTAGAACAGATAAATGTGTGGATGAGCCAAAACTTTCTCCAGCTGAACAGAAACAAAACTGAAGTTATTATCTTTGGACCTCAAGAGGAGCGAACTAGAGTCAGTGCGCAGCTTCAGTTATTACAACTAAAAACCAGCGATCAGGCCCGAAACCTGGGAGTAGTGATGGACTCTGACCTGAACCTTCAAACCCATATTAAGACAGTCACAAAGTYGGCCTTCTATCACCTGAAGAACATCTCCAGGATTAGAGGACTAATGTCTCAGCGTGATCTAGAGAAACTCATCCATGCGTTTATCTTTAGCCGCATTGATTACTGCAACAGCATCTTCACAGGTCTGACTAATAAATCGATCAAACAGTTGCAGCTGATCCAGAACGCTGCTGCTCGCAACTCACTAAAACCAGGAAGATAGAGCACATAACACCTGTTTTAAAGTCCCTTCACTGGCTCCCTGYAGCTCAAAGAATAGACTTTAAAATACTGCTGTTAGTTTATAAATCACTGAACGGTTCAGCACCACAATACATTAAAGATCTGCTATTGCTGTACCAACCGTCTAGACCCCTCAGATCTTCTGGTTCTGGTCTGCTTTGCATCCCCAGAACCAGAACCAAACGAGGAGAAGCAGCATTCAGTTTCTATGCACCACAGATTTGGAACAAACTTCCAGAAAACTGTAAAACAGCTGAAACACTGGGTGCCTTTAAATCTCAACTTAAAACACACCTGTTTAGAGTTGCTTATGGCTAAATTAGGATTAGAGTGTGGGTTTTGATGTCTTCAATGTATTTGATGTTTTTAATGTTTTTRTCTGATGTTTTTTAATGTTTTTATCTTTTCTTTTTATCTCACATGCTGTTTTTATTTGAATTATGTAAAGCACTTTGAAATGCCTTGCTGCTGAAATGTGCTATACAAATAAAATTTGATTGATTGATTGATTTTAAATGTATATTTTCTGTTTGTTTTTTTGTAGAATTCTGTGTGTAAGGAAGTTATTCCAACCACTGAGTTCATTAACAGTAAACTGACTGCCAAAGCAAACCGACAGCTACAAGACCCACTAGTTATCATGACAGGAAACATACCTACCTGGCTTATTGAGCTCGGAAAGACCTGGTGAGTGGAGAAGTGCAGGAACTATAAATGAGAAAGTATTTATGTTATGTTCATTGGTTGATTTGACTTTTTTTYCCTCTCTATTTCCACAGCCCCTTCTTCTTCCCCTTTGACACCCGGCAGATGTTGTTCTATGTAACCGCTTTCGATCGAGACAGAGCCATGCAGCGCCTACTGGACACAAACCCTGAGATCAACCAATCAGATTCTCAGGACAGCAGAGTCGCACCTCGTCTCGACAGGAAAAAGGTGAGTTTAGTTTTAGTATAGTGTGTTGCAGCATCGACTCGTATTTGAGACGTTCCACATCAGTGAATAGACTCGAGCTGCAGCTGGCCGTCACCTTTTATGCCTTTTTTTCCCTTCTCAGAGAACGATAAACCGCGACGACCTCCTAAAACAGGCAGAGTCAGTAATGCAGGACCTTGGCAGCTCCAGGGCCATGCTGGAGATCCAGTATGAGAACGAGGTACGCTTTGTGGCTTCTCTGTATATTCAAACCAAGAACTTGTCCTGCTTCTACATGGTGTGGAATAAATATTTTATTTTCTCTCTTTCAGGTGGGGACAGGTCTTGGTCCCACTCAGGAATTTTATGCTCTGGTTTCCCAGGAGCTTCAGAGGGCTGATCTTGGCCTTTGGAGGGGCGAAGAGGTGACTCTGGCCAACCCTAAAGGTACCGCAGCTCTTCCTGTAAACTTTGAGCTAACATTATTGGAGTACAGTTTAAAAACATTATGAAACTCTTTACTATTGTGTGCAGTGAAGTTATAGTTTGGCCCTTCTTGTTCTTGATGAAAATCTCTTGAATGAAGTTAATTTTCTAATTGTCAGTAGCGTTTATACAAGAACAGAAAAGGTTGTAGTTTTATTTGTGCTGCTTGTGTCATAACTGCACCCTCTCCTCTGTTGCTCCTCATCAGGAAACCAGGAGGGGATGAAGTACATGTTCAGCTCCAGAGGACTGTTTGCTGTTCCCTTTGGCAGAACAACTAAACCAGCACACATAGCCAAAATCAAAATGAAGTTCCGTTTCTTAGGGAAGTTGATGGCCAAAGCCATTATGGACTTTAGATTGGTAATTTGTTTTCTATTTTATKTCAGTTCATAAACACACAACATGAACTTCAGTGTTAGTTTTGTGTTTGAGTTGATTCTTTAAGCACCTGTTAGGCATCACGTCATCATGTTTTCTGCTCCTTCTCCTAGCTGGATCTACCTTTGGGACTCCCTTTTTATAAGTGGATGCTACGGCATGAGATGTCTGTAAGCTCTCACGACTTGACCAACATTGATCCTGGTGTGGCCAAGTCCATCCAGCACCTGGAGGATATTATTCGTCAGAAGAAGAGGTTGGAACAGGACCGATCTCAGGTAAAAGGCTCTTAACCCACACAAATACATATGTTCTTGATAGTTACATGTTAACATAAAAATAAATTCTTCCCTTCAGACTAGAGAAACCCTGCAGCAGGCCCTGGAGAGCCTGAACATGAATGGCTGCTCTGTGGAGGAGCTCGGTTTGGACTTCACTCTTCCAGGATTCCCAAACATCGAGTTGAAAAAGGGAGGCAAAGACGTCCCGGTCACCATCTACAACCTGGAGGAGTATCTCAGGGTCTGTGATACACACTTGTTCTCCTGCTTCTCTTTTTGTTCTTTATAGTTTGATTTTGTTTTGGTAATTTTTTTTCTTCTTCCTGTAGTTGGTGGTGTACTGGACTTTAAATGAAGGCGTGTCRAGACAATTTGAGTCGTTTAGGGAAGGATTTGAGTCAGTTTTTCCCTTGCATCACYTACAGTATTTCTACCCAGAGGAGGTGAGAAACTTTTCTCTTAAGTTAATATCAGTAAATAGTTTAGTCTGTAGTGATAAAGTCCATACTTACTCCTGGTTGTTTTTTTTYCCTTTCTTCTTCCTCCCTCACCATCTCACATTCCCTGCAGCTTGACCAGTTGCTGTGTGGCAGTAAATCTGAGACCTGGGACGTCAAGACGCTGATGGAGTGCTGTCGACCGGACCATGGATACACACATGACAGGTGCAATAAGACACAAACATTCCTACTAGAGTTTAATGGAAAGCTTCAGTTCACAGCWATGATCAGGTCATTTTAAGTGCTTCAGTAAAGGGCAGCTGAAAGAGCTTTTTTAATCTAATGAAGCTTTTTGAGATCTGAAATATCTTCAAAAATGTTTTACAAACATAAAAGTTAAATTACAAGTTAAAGGATAGGTTACTGGTTGTGTCAAAATGAGGGCCACATAGTGCTGCACACTTGCCCAAATGTAATAAAACTGCCACTTAAAAGATGTTTGTTAATAAACCAATATACCATGCAGTAATTTAACATAATTTTAACATATTTTTCATATGCACGTACAACACTTGTACTTTTGTTTAATAAATATGAATACAAAACATTTGAAGCAAACAAAATAAACATTTACTGTGATTTGTCTTTTTTCAGTTCAAAGTTCTCTCATAATCATGAAAATAAAACACACAAATCCCCATCCACCTCATGGATGACATTGTGAAAAAAAAACAAGTTGCTGTTTGTGTACTTGAGATTTCAGTAAACCTCTCATATTTAGCGCTGTGCATCSTGTTGTGTCTTCATGGCAGATTAAACACAAGTTTGCCTTGAAATTCTGTGAACAGATGCTCTGCCTCCCATTTCACCTGAAACATTATTTTTCTCTGTCCCGTTTTTCCTTTACTGCTTTCTTAGCCATTTCTAATGGTCTCTTCCTCACTGGTAGAGAAGACGTGTGCGTGAGGTGGCGCCATCTAGTGGCWAACTTTATTGCAACCTATTCAGTGCCRCTGAGMCACTTTTATATGTTTTTGTAATTTTTAAAAACTAATCTAAGGGCTTATGGCTCGCAGGCTGCCAGTTGGCCGTCCTTGCTGTAATATATTTTAAAATAAACTCTCCCATCTCTTGTTCGTGCAGCCGTGCCATTCGTTTCCTGTTCGAGGTCCTGAGCAGCTTCGACGCTGAGCAGCAGAGGCTCTTTCTGCAGTTTGTCACAGGAAGCCCGAGGCTGCCTGTCGGAGGTCAGTAATTCATCCTTTCTCTTTTTTTTTTTTAAATTCAGTGTTCAAACCTGCAGTTTTGCCGCTCATTCACCTGAGTTTTTTGTTTTTACTGTTCACCAGGTTTCCGGAGCCTGAACCCCCCTCTGACCATTGTGAGAAAAACATTCGAGTCGACGGAGAACCCGGACGACTTCCTCCCATCAGTCATGACCTGCGTCAACTACCTGAAGCTGCCTGACTACTCCAGCATAGAGATCATGAGAGAGAAACTCTTGATTGCTGCTCGCGAGGGCCAGCAGTCTTTCCACCTTTCCTGATCTCRCCACATCTCACATTTAAATGCCTTCTACAGCGACTGATGAAATCATGACTTCCTTAGTTTTTTTTTGTTTGTTTTTTTTTGTTTTTTTGTAATCACACACGTTGAGGCTATGGGGTATAGCCTTCTTGTTAGAGAAGCAGCTTGCAGAAAAGTTAAGACTTTAAATATATATTTGCTGCCCCTGTCTCTCCAAAAAAAAGGAAAAAAAATCTAAAAAAAAATTAAAATACAAAAATGGAAAGTTGTTCCATGACTCARAAGTTAAAATATWAAAAAAAAACAGAGTAAAACCTATATCAGTAGTTGAGTAATGTTAAAAAGATGAATACATCTGGGTGACATTTTAAATTGCATTGCTATGTGATATTTAAAAAATAAAATAAAAGGGATGTCTCCTCTCCAGAGCGGTGGACAGCTTACTGGGTGTTGGGGAGGAACGGGGGAGGGGGGTGTTCATTGAGCAAGCTAGGTTTACTTTAGCTCCAAAGATCATTTGTACAGACAAATTTGCAGACTTTTGCTCATTCTACACATTTGATAGAATAGTTCTTTGTTTTCTCGTCTCCTCTCGGTTCTTCAGTCGGACGTTTTCTGTATTCTATTGGCCCCCGGTTTGTGTGTCGCATTTCGGTTCAGCTTCCTCCCCCCACCCCACCTCGTGTGTCTCTTTGCTTCCACTTGTGAAAAAAACGACAGTTGCAGTTGGCTGAATGCGGGTAGTGAGAAGATCGTATTATCTTTTTATTTCTTTGAGCTCTACCCATGTTTGGACTGTGTTCTGGCCATCCTTTATTACAAAACGAGCTTTCAGCTTAACTGAAGATTTGTAACTGATGTGTTGGTTTATTTTATTTTTTCTCTTTGATGGAGTTGGCATCTTTCTGTTTGGCCCGACGGAATCTGTGGGGTTCTTGTTTTGGCAGACCAAGCTCTGAGCAAACCCCCACTCCCACCCCTTCAACACATAATGTAGCTGGGCACAAAACATTTGGCTGGTCTCATTTTATCGTTTCACGGCCAGGCAACATTTCAAGTTCATTTATAGAATAAAGTATATATGCAGTTTCACACCCTGTCTGAGGTGGGAATGTCTGCGTTACAGTTTTTTTTTAATTTTCTATATTGTCTTTATTTCTTGCTGTAGTTGATTGTTTTTCTTTGCACTGCTGGCTTGGAACAAACCGTGGTGTGCACTTGCAGTCTGTGGCCAGGGGAGGGCGCCACTGTATGCTTTCCTGGCCCAATCGTTCATGTGCTGGTTTCTAAGATCTGCAATAATTTACTGCATCAGGTTCTTGTTTTTACCTGAACATAAATAAAGTAACTGTTTGACTCATATTTTGTTCATCGTTGTATTTTTTCCCCTCATCTTGTTTGTTTTTATCGCTGCTGCKACCTGTTGATTTGAACCATTTCCCCTTTGTCCAATTTAGACGGTTGGTTAGAAATGTTTTTCTTTTGTTCTCCTTTTAGGACAGCTTTTTCTTAGTTACTCTAGTAGCACCAGATATCTAGTTGAGTCACCTAATATGTCATTTTGGAGCTGTCAGAGTAAATTACCGACAGTTGTGTACTCAATGACAAAAAGCTTAGGCTGCGATTGAACGTTGTAGGAGACAKAGTGTCGAAATAATACTGAGCTGATTTTTAATCAGATTTCCTCTGAAACTAAAATAATTATTGTTTTTTCAAGTTCAATTGTACTTGGTAATCAAATTTTATGCATAAATTAAAAGTTAAGAAATGTGTGTAATGAACAGCTTTGTCATATCAAGAAGGTAAACTTGTATAATCCAAAAAAAAATCCTTTATTCATTTGATTATTGGCAAAGGACCTCACTCGGTTGTATTAGTCACTTTAAAACCTTTTATTTTTTTTTAAAGAAGTAACTGCAGGATTACTGTTAAGGTTTTTGGGTGTATTTTTTTTCTTCATAATCCTCAAACTGAGGTACGTTCTGTTTGTAAACYCAGGTTTATGTGCTCTCTGGCAAAAAATTCATTCTGAAAAACAACTTATTGCACTGTTGTCTTGTTCAGGTGTTAAAACAACTTCAGTTATAAAAAAAAAGCTTACATTTTACACAACATTCTGTGTAAAATGTATAGCAGAATGCAACAATTTGCAAACCTCAAACACATGTTTTTATTAAACAGTTTAAACATTTGATGCTTTCTAAGAAATTTTTACCATTTTTAAGGTAATTTTGAATTTAACGGCAGCAACACATTTAAATAAAGATGAGAGATTACTTTCACAACAAAGGGTTGTGAAAGTAATTTAAAGGTGTGCAGCGGTTCACTAGTCTAAAATAAATTCTTTAAAAAATAGTGAATAATTTCAAAATGTTTCTCAATGAAAAATTGGGAAGACTGAATTTTGTTCCACTTGAGTCTGAAAAACGCTTAAATTTTAACCGCTAGTTAAAGCTCTATCATGCAAAGAAGCAATATGAAAATTGGCAGTGGTGGGCAGCACTAATCTAAAAATATTTCCACTAGCACTAAAACACTAACTCAAATATTTAGGTTCCTTTATTCTAMAGCAATAATGCATGGAAAATTTTAGCAAAATCTAATTCTAAAGCACTAAAATAACCCAGTCAACACATGGACATTCTTCAACAGACAAGTCACATGTTGCCATGTTGCTCTCTTAAGACTTATCATTGATGTTCCACAGCTGTATTTGGGTTGTCACCTAGTGGATAAGTGACATGAACAAAATGTGTGACAGCTTTCATCCTCAGCTGTTAACATTTACATTTAAAGACCTTAATTAGTGCTTCTAAATTTAGCCTATAAATTTAGCAAGTGCTAATCTACTGATGCATTTTAAAGCCCTAAAGCACTAATCAGGAAATTAGTTCCCCTATAATGCTTTGGTGCTTTAAGGGAACTGTGCCCACCACAGAAGTGGTTTTGATCAACTTGATACTGTGGTATAACCTTTAGAAGCAAAGAGCTCATGGGTCTTAAGGGAGAAAAAAAAAAAACTCACAAAGTCTAAATCCAAGAGGAGTCCAGCTATTTGTTTAACTGAATCCTGCAGCTGGTTAGTCCCTGAAGCTGTCAGTCAGCACTACACCACGCCCACCTTTTCAGGAGTCAGCGAGTAACGTGTTTGTCAGTACCTTATTGATTTTTGTTTGTGTTTTGTTTTCATACCTCACTTGGAGGTTAAGAGTCGTGACAGACGGGGTTATCCCTGCTACCCCC